AAAACTCATAATAAGCTCCAGTTCAGATTTATGTACATGTGACTGTGGCTTTTGTAGGAACATATAAAGTTAGATGAGAATAAAACCTATCAGCAGCACTTGAGCTGTATATAGCAGTTCGGCTGCTGGACTCTAGGTATCCAGTAATAAATCTAGCTGGGTTACACGGACTTAGACAGGAACAGGAAGTCTATGTGGTCAGGAAGCTTCATAAGAGCTATAGCAACAAAAAGCGTCTGTACGAAAAAAAGGGTAATAAGACACTGCTTCCAGCTGGTTAGATAGCTGTTACCTCGTTTGGTATCGCTAACGTTTCACCGATAACATTTGCCCACCAGACCATCAAATACGAGAAAAAAGCTATCCATAATATTGATCCGATGAATGTAAACGCAAAATACTTTCTTAATGCCTGAAAGCAACTAAGTTCAATAGCGTAGACAGGACATTCAGAAAGCATAACTCCAGAGTCACTTGACTGTCAGGGCGTCATTTGTTCAATCCTTAGGAAACAATTCTTCATTAGCCATTAAATACTTCAACGACACTTAAACTGTGTGAGCCTGGAAAACGGTGCATTGCACGCTCTTAAGATATGATTTTGCTGAAGCACAGCGGGTAAATGTGACAAGGGAGGTGGCTTGGTTTGAAAGTTGTCATCTTTTAACTCATTTTGGACATTTAAAACAAGCAAATCTAAGCAAAGATTACTTCCTACTGCCATTATAAAACTAGTTTTTAACTGAAAGCGGTGTTTTAGGCCGAGCAACATAGAACCGCTGGTTACACAGTGGATTTGCAAGTTAATAACTTGAATTTCAAAGCACCGATTGATTATACTTGGTCGGAAATGTAAACTCGAACTTAAATTCATACTAGCGTCCCCAAGTCCGTATTTTTAATGTACCAACACTGTGTAGTTAATCCACTGAGATCATACATAGTTCAGGACGCACATATACACAGTGAAAAAGAGAAATGGATTACTTTTATGCGTTTTGCTGTGCAGCTATAGCGCTGCTACAGCCAGCAAAAACACATATTGTCGAGAGCCTGTCTGTGTGTGTTTTTGTTCAGAAGCGAGTGCATTTTGTCACCCACTTTCATCTTAGCAACCAGGAAAGCTGGGAGGGTGAAACTTTGGGTGTGTGTTCCTACCCCGTGTGTCATCCTCCCATTTCAAGATGTTCCCCAACATGCGCCTAGACCCCGCGTACGGGCCCCCAGAAAAATATGTTGGCCGTAAACGATTTCGCGAACCAGGCAAGGTAAAAAGCTGAAACTTTGTAAGGGTATTATCTATGCACGTACGAGCTAAAGATTTTAAACTCAGCTGTCGAGCACCCCAACCACAGCTTCAAGCAGCTCCTCAGTCCAAAAATCGTTAAGAGATCCATCGCAACTCGGACCCGATCGTATATGTAAACGAACATTAGTTAATTAGCATACATGGATTTTTTGACAAATGACCGCTCGAGCAATACTTCCACTTTATAGTGAACTGGAAATTTGCATTTTTTCAAAAAATTTGCACTTGTCATTTTTTCAGAAACCAAGCATTTACCGGAAAAACGACCGGGCTTCATGCAAAAAATCGGTAATCATGCACCTGGATGTTCGTGCGGCTCTATAATGCATCACCTTCATTCCAAATGATGCCCTTCTTTCTGCATGCCGGGGAGGATCAAAGCACGGCCAATATAAGCCCAAGTGTTAGGCTACAGCGTAGGGATCATTCCTGCTAATAGCGACCTACGAGTTTAGTGCAAAAACGCATGATCGCACCGGAGAGCCTGGTGCATTCTAGCCTGGGTTAAATTTATTACCATATAGAATGCTTTGGTTCCTTTTCTCAAAAATTGCAGTAATTCTGAAGCTGCACAAAATTACACCACGGCGTACAGATGTGACGTTGTTATTGCGCTTCTTTTCGCATAAAAGCAAAAATTATATATTTATTCTTCAAATGCCGGGATAATAGTATCTTTGTAGAAGAAGGAGAAACAGACAAAGAAGATGACTGTAAAACATGCCGGGTTTTTGGTGTCCGGAAGCGTGTAATACAGTGGCAACATCACGGGCGCCAGAAACAGATAATTGATCTGCGCTCGAAGCGTTGATGGCCACGAGACGTCCACTTGCGACTCTACCGCTTGTGTATCTTCTTCCGTCTCCACCGGACACGGCTGAACAAAATTTTCATATCAGTCTTCCCTACACGCTTGTCGATCATAGCAACTGATAATCAGCCTATGAGCGAGAGTAGCTCCACTTGTTAAGCCAGGAATTTGTTTTTTTCTGAAGCAAAATGGAGAGAAGATGGGAAGAAGGGCAAGAGGAAGAGAAAAATACTTGGGGTACTGAAGTAAAACACCCACCTCCTTCATACTGACATCGCTAGAGACTGCAGTACTCCTTCGGGGAATTTTCTGTGGGATGTCACTGCTGCCATCGCTGTTTGAGAATCGC